ATATTTTTGTGTTAGGAGCATTCTAATTCTGATCTGACATTTTTAATATTTAAAGGATTTATACCAATTCACAAATAGTAAGTCAATAGTGGAAAATAGATAAAACATTGTTAATAATTTATGAAAAAAATAGAAAAGGCACTAAACATGAAAAATATGTTCAACCTAAGAATCAAACTTTAAAACAAAATTGATGCCATTTTTGTATATTGAGTTTGAAAAGATCTTTTTAAAGGATGCATTCAGTGCTATTATGAATGTGGTATAAAACAAATACTTTTACAAACTGCTGATGGGAGTGGAAATTACTGTAACCTTTTTGGAAAATAATTCCGTTGTTCATGTCAGGAGTCTTGGATTATTTATGCCCCATGACCTGGTATTTCCTATTTTATTTCTTAGGAATCTATTTGGGGAAATAATCATGAATATCAATAAAGATAGATTAAATAAATATGCATATTGCAGAGTTATTTAAAATAGTGAAAAACTGAAAGTAATAGAAACACCCAGAAGGAGAATGTTTAGGTAAATCATGGTAAATTGGTTGATACTGTACAACTGTTGAAAACTGTTTACAAATAAATTTTAAATATGTCAGAGAATGCTTATGATATAATATTAAGTGGGGATAAATGAGGCCACTAAATAGTATTATGTACAGTGGTATGATTTCAACTATGTTAAAACATATACACACATACACTCAAATGCACATTCACACACATATACATGCACAGATGGTTTAAAAGTAGACAATAAAAGATTAAGAGTGCTTATCTCAGGTTACTGGAGTTTGGGATGATTTTCATTTGTGGGGGAAGTTTATAAGTAGGATGATTAGTAAATAGGAGAGCATTATTGTTAGTGAACCTAAAACTTAACAAAAAATTTATAGCAAGCCACAGAAGTAGCTTCTGGGGAATAGGCCATTTGTAGGGACAAGTATTCCTGAGTTAAAATTCTGGGCCTCCTTCTCACTAGTTATGTTACTTTGGCAAGTTACTTAATTACTCCAAATCCCTTTCTCTATATGCAAGTTGTTGATAATGCCTGCCTCCTAGAGTTGTTTGGAAGATTATATGAATATTCAGTGCCTGTCACACAATTACTACTTAGTAAGTTTATTATTTCCATCCATCCAAAGACAACTTCAGGACAAAGTGATAGGTTTGCCATAAACTGTAACCTAGGCAAAAATTTCCTTCTTAATTTTTCAAGAGTTTTAAAATATTTTATTTTGTATTTTCTTATGTTTTAGGCTTCAATGAACAGTTTGGTTGTCCTTACCTAGAAGTTGAATAAGTTAGAAGTATTATTCTTAATGAAAAGTTAAGTGGAAATGATGTTCTTATACTTTTACCATTATGATATTCAAATTAATGCTCCCAAAACTTAATGAATAATCTCTGTTTTTCTACTGATAATTTTTCAAAGGATGGAGTATCCAAAGTTATCTTTAACTACTCATTCTCTCCATTTTTACAGGTAGCCTGAATCTGCATTGTGAAATGTAGTAGCCATAATTTTAAATGGGCAAGCCAGCTATAAGATTTTATGACACATATTTTATTCAATATGAGTCTTCTTAGTAATCCAGAGGTTTCTTTGATGACAAAAATAAACATTTATAGAAAAAAATATTTGGTTTTGCCCATCTGAAGCCCTTGGTAAACCTTAAAAGTTACATCTAATGGTTGAGTAGTACCCAATTCTCTGTGTAAATTAACACTCACTTATGAATATAGACATAAACCTATAATGCGGATACCTTATAATTGTGCAAATAACTTTTTATGGTTTAAAACACTTTTTTCCACATTAATTAATTTTATTCTTATAACAACCTTATTATATAGAATATAGTAGATATTATTATTCTATTTTATAGATTTAGAAACTAAAGTCCAGAATCCTAAGTGACATTTCTGATGTTACACTGCCAATTCTGATGTCAAGTCCAATACTGTTTTCACTTCATCATAACAGATCTATTTTCAGGCACAAAAGGATTGAAGGATATAGTGCTATTAAACTCATATACATTACTAACAGAAGAGGCTTTAGGCTAACCTTTAGATCACAGATGAGGTTACAATTGTGTGTAGTATAAGGGTTACTAATTTAACAACTTGGAGTGCTGTATTAGAAGCTTTAGGTTGATAGAGCTGCTAAAAGTGAAATTCCTGAGAAGTAATAGTAGACTGCAAAAGAAAGAATAGTAGAAATAGTGGAATTACCAGTGCTAAAATGAAATATTCTATATATTTCAAATTTCGTAAGGGCATCACTGTATTGTAGCAGAGTACTAAAATTTATATTGGTATTATGACACCAAGTCATTAAATAAAGGTGAATCTTGTGCAGTGCATTTAGTGTAAGAACGTATACAATCAACACAATATATTTTATAAAGATTTATATTAAATTGGTTAACATTGAAGAAAAGTAATCTTTTTTTTTCTTTTTTTTATGTTGGCATATGAAGGGGGTACAGATTTTAAGGTTTCAATAAATGCCCTTTCCCCCCTCCCCCAACAAGTCTGAGTCTCCAGCATGACCATCCCCCAGACGGTGCACATCTCACTCATTATGTATGTATATACCCACCGCCTGCCCCCCTGCCCAATACCATATTACTGTAGTACCTATGTGTCCACTTAGGTGCTGCTCAGTTAATACCAGTTTGCTGGTGAATGTATGTGATTCTTGTTTTTCCATTCTTGGGATACTTAACTTAGTAGTATGGGTTCCAGCTCTAACCAGGAAAATATAAGATGTGCTATATCACCGTTGTTTCTTAGAGCTGAATAGTACTCCATGGTATATTTACGTAAGTTTGACACATCCCTGCATCCCTGGGATGAAGCCCACTTGTCGTGATGGATTAATTTTTGATAAGCGTCTGGATTCGTTAGCTAAGATTTTGTTGAGAATTATTGCATCTATATTCATTA